TAATAGAAAGTGTCTGATGTAGTAAAACATGATAAAATATAGTTTTATAATGGAAAAGATTGATTTTTTTAAGGTCAGATTTATATACTGTATTCTTATTTTATATACTTTTTTAGGTAGGAGTAATTAACTTACTTGATGCTAACTCAGAAATTGAAAAATGTCTAGAAGTGAAGCTATCCTGAACCCACAAAGATTTATTTATCCAAAGCTGAACTTCTGAAAATATTTTGTATCTTCATTAGACTTTGAATTGGAAACACCTCCCATGAACTCTCTCCTTTTATAATATACATTCAATTGCAACTATAATGTGAAACACGAAATATTTCAGACCATTAAATCTTCTACTTTATTGTAATTATTAACCAAGTAAGAAAACCACATGAGGAGCACAATGAAGTGTGGCTGTTTTCAGTGGAGATATTCCCATGTATGAGTGTGATTAGCACAGACTTGCTAAATCTCGCTCTGAGCCATCTGTGAGCACATTCTTGGTTTAAAACAATACACGCCAGCTCTGCTCAGTTCTAAGTCAGTTTTTGCCACAACTGTTAGCTTCATCTTAAACCTGGGAACATTTTCCAATGCTGAAGCTTGGAAATGCCACCTTTGATTAAGAATCTGATTCTTGATCTGAAATAGATTTCTATTAAATCAACTATTTCAAATGAAATTTTATTGGCATAAAATACTGATCACAGAACTTCCAAATCATTTGTAGAGAAAAGATTAGAGGATTTTGGTTTACTAGTGAGTTTTGAACATATTCTTGTATTGAAGCATCTAATAATTTAACATAAAATGGCTAGTCCCTTGAGCTCATTTGCTTGCTCTTTAGTTCAACATCGAAGAAGAGTGATGAGAAATGTTCCTTTTATAGCAGCTTCTGTGTGTGGTCCTGGGTTTTGGCAAATCAGCAATAGTGAGGATGTACTAACACAAACCTGATGGTAAATATGCACCATAGCCTGGTGGCTAAGGTCTTTACTGTAAACCCAATACAATCATTTCTGAAGGACTTCTGATCATGATGAATCAGAGCATTCATCTAGAGTCTCTGAAGACTGCACTGCAGCAAAACTATCTAGAACTGCCCAGAGACCAGCATAAACACAGCATATATTTGAAACAAATTACAAAGTTGTAGAAGAAATTGAAATCATGTTCTCTATTACAGACGCATGTTTTTGAAAACCTGCAAAGCACTTAAAATAGGCTCATAGTGTTTAGTTTTTCAAGCCCAGCCCAAGAACAAAGAAGAATCAATCAATAATAATCAATGTTACAGTGAAGATTTTTATACTCAACTATACTTTAACTACAATGAAATTCATCCATGTTAACTGTATGAGTTAATGACATTTAGTAAATTTACAGGACAGTGCAATCGTCACAGCAATCTATTACCTCCAAAAGGTCCCTCATAAACATTATGTTTACAGTTTTACGTTCAATTTTTCACAATTTTTCTGTGAAAACATAGTTATGTCATTGAAATAGAATGCCAAAAATGTTAATATATCCGACTCTGTTGGCATTCAGACACAAATTAAAAATTTGTCTGAAAAGGAACAGGTTTTATGTGTACAACTTTTTTCCCTTTTAACCCAGGAGTCTAGCTAATTAGTCAGTTATTACAGTCTTCCTTACATAATATTCATAAAATCATGAAACGGGGATGTGTATGAACTTTGCTCTTGTTACAAGCAAAACTGCTATCATCAAGAGGCACACAGAGGCAACAGCAGCTATGAGTCATAATATTCCCTATATTCCTTCACACTTCTGTTTTTCACCTCAGTTTCTAAGTAGGGAATAAGTCATACCCTAGCTGAGGTCATCCTGCCTATCAGAAAATGTTGGGCAACAAGAGGTCACATTCAAAATGTGAGCCTATTTCAAGCTCCAATTTTTCTTTTTGTTATTGTTTTCTTCATAATATGCATGCTCATATCTATTTCTTAAAACATGCTCTTGATTTCTTCCTTGCTTCCTTCTCAAGGACCATCGCATAGCCCTAACACTTTTCCTCTAGGTTATATTTCCTTTTAATGATCTTATGGCCTTGCAAAAGTTCTAAGATTAAAAAAATTAAAAAGAAAGAAAAGCATGTTAGACACATATGCGCCTTGTATACAGTGAATTTATAATGCTCTTTATTAGTAAAACATAAAGTTTAATGGCTTAAAGTTCTGTTAGCATATAGCTCCATGAAATTATGGGATTATGTCTGTGTTGTTCACTGATATACCCCAAGCTCCTAGAACAACATCTGGCACATAGTAGGTGTTCATGAAATATTTGTTGAGTAAATGAAGTTTTTTATATTCCAATCCTAATGGATTATGTAGGTTGGTCTAACTAGCTGGTACATTATGAAATTATTTTGATATGTTATATATAAAACACATTATTTAAATGCACTAGTAGAATTCAGTATAAAATTCTGAATAAATCTAAGCTGTAACATGTTATACCTTGCATTATATTATGATTGCGTATTTATTTTTATATTATGAGACTTTATATTCTTGTACTTCATCAAGCTTGCTGAAGAATTATGTGTATAAATAATAATACAAAATAATACCTGTAAAGTTCTAAAATAATACCTGTAAAGTTCCTGAAAATTACATTGTTTGCTCCTGTCTTCTAACACTTCTTTTATTTAATTAAAAAATTAACTAATTGGGGGAGTACAAGGAACTTACAGTCACTTTGCCACTGATAATCTCCCCAGTCATTTTTTTCAAACTTTTTATTTTGAGACAGAGTCGGCTAAGTTGTTGAATCTGGCCTCCAACTTGTGATCCTCTTGCCTTAGCCTCCCAAGTTTCGAGAATTATAGATGTGCACTACTACACCTGGCTGGCACTTCTTAAAATTAATATTTCCCTTCATGATTTAGCTAAGAGGTCCCACCTTGATATAAAAAAAGATAAAATACACAAAAAATATTCCACAAACAAAAAGAAAAAATAGCATTTTGATCCTGACCTCATTGGAAATTAACTTCAAGATCTGCATAAATAGGTGGCAGCAGGTAAATGGATGGCATTGGAGAAGATAATACTAAGTGAAATTAGCCAATCCCCCAAACAAATGCCAAATGTTTTCTCTGATATAAGGAGGCTGATTCATAGTGGGGTAGGGAGGGGGAGCATGGGAGGAATAGAGGAACTCTAGATAAGGAAGAGGGGTAGAAGGGAGAGCGAGAGGGCAGTGGGTTAGCAATGGTGGTGGAATGTGATGGACATCATTATCCAACGTACATGTATGAAGACACAGATTGGTGTTAACATACTTTATACACAACCAGAGGTATGAAAAATCATGCTGTGTATGTGCAATAAGAATTGTAATGCATTCTACTGTCATTTATTTTAAAAAAATCAAAAACTTTTAAAAAGTTAAATCAATTTATGAATGGAAGGTTTGAGGTTTCTAGCTCTAATTATCCATATTTCTACTGCTTTTTATCATTAATTTGATCAAGAATGAATATTGTTTTGCTTTAATTAATTGGTTCTTTCATTTTTCTTCTAGTAATGTTCTCTTTTTTCACAATTTTGGAAACAATGTTGTTACTTCAGATTTATGTGTCATCAATTATACCAAAACTCTCCTTCCTCATGCCAGATCTGGTCTCATTGATTACATTTATTTCTTGTATGTTTGCAGTCCTGCATTACTAGCATCACCAATTCAGGCTCTCCAATTTCATGGTGTTAGGGAGCCTGGGCCTTCTGAGAAACTGAGGCTGCGTTATTGCAATCAAGTCAGAAAGATTTCATACGTGTTGCTCAGTGTAACAGGAATGAGTTTATTGGAGGAATAGGAAAAGGGAAAGGGGACATTCTTAAAGGAAAGAGTGGGTCCTCTCAGAGAGGAAAGGGACAATGTGCCTCTCCTGCACTCCAGTTTTATTGGGGATCCCAGAGAAGTTTCCAGAGAGTTCTGCTCAAGTCCACCTCCTGACTTTTAACTGACAGCAAGGTGACATCAGACTTTCAAATCCCCATTCTAGATCATCTTGGCCCATTCTGACCATTCTAATTGGATCCTTTACCATACATTCTTACAGATTTTATGGTTAGGAGGAACCATAAAATCTGTAACCATCCTCATCTCCCCAGGATCTGGTCACAAAAGTCTCCTCCTTTAGGGTAACTTAGGTTCCTCTTACCAACATTATTTTGGGCCTGCATTACTCCTGCAGTGAACTGCAATTTGCTGAGGAATGTGACATATCCTGTCCATTGAAGCCAGGCAGGGCTGCAAGTAAATTTTTCTTGGAAAAGAAAGCATGTGGGGGTCAGCACAAAGGGCACATTTAATAGAATTATTTTCTTAACGTCATGTTCCCATCATTCACCTGTCTGTTCTCTAACAATGGGAATTCTCTATGGGGATGGGGTTAAGGATTTCAGTTCTTCCTTTCTCCTTGGGGACCATGAGCCATCACCCAATCCTCTGTCTCCAGAGGCCTCTTCTCTCCTGACTTCTCTCTTTAACTTATAAGCATACTTTTACCTCTTCTACCCTAAAAATAAGTCCTTCTAATGACCCAAAGTCCACTTCTCTCCCTTTCTCTCTCTTTCTCCTTCTCAAGGTGGTAAGCACTAGTGGAACTTAGTATAAAATTATAAAATAATGAGTGGTCATATAAATATGTTCTACCTTTAATTATATTATGCTTCTGTATTTCTTTATATTTATGGGTTTATAATTCTTTATAACTCCAACTCTATTTTTATTACTTCATGTCAAACTTCTGTTCCCATACACTCAAGTGATGGTTTTCTAAAGTCACTCACGACCCTTTAATTGCCAAATCCAATTAACACTTGCCCTTATCTTGTTTGGCCTCTTGGTAGCACTTACTGCCTTGAACCTCTTCTTGTTGAAATTCTTTCACCCCATGTTTTCACCACACCTGCTCTACAGATTCACCTACTACCCATCACTATTCCTTTTCAGTGAGTTGGTTTTTTTTCTTTTTTGCATATTCTTTCACCTTACAATCAAATGTTGATCTCCAGAGCTCTGTCCTGGGTCCTGTCCTCAAACTACAAAATTCCCTCAGGAAAATGGATTGATTCCTATTGTTTTAATTACTATTTTCTTGCCTATGACTTCCATGTTTAAATATTTAGTCCTAAATTTTCTACTGAGCTCCAGATCTCATATCTCTGGATTTTTCCCGTGATGTCTTTTCCATGTATGTGTTACTAAGTCTAATCAAACCTATTAGATCTCTTCTGGGTTCTTTTTTGGGGGTAATTGTATTTTATATGCTGGAAGGAAAGTAAATTGAATATTTAGCAGCCAGCAAGGCAGACTTGGTACTCTTATATGCTGTTTATTTCTGGTTTTCCTTTTTGGGGGAATAGAGTGGAAATACACTTCCTTGGTCCTTGGAAATTAGGTGTGTCACATGACTTATTTTGGCCAATGAAATTTATTTGAGGTGATATTGTCACTTTAGGCAGAAACCTTTGAAAACTGGCACATAATTTTATTGCCTTGTCCCTGTAAACTGGTGACATTTTAGAGAAAAGAGGATCCATCAGCTTGCATTCTAGTGAAGATGATTTATAGCTGATCTTCCACAGACTTACAATGGACATATATAGCATGAGTGAGAAATAAGTCTTTGCTATTTTAAGCTGGTGAGATTTTGGACTTCCTTCTTACTGCTGCATCACCCAGCCTGTCCTGACTGATTGAAGATCCAAAATCAAGTTTGGTATTTTTTCCTCCTGTGGATCATGAAAAGAATAAAACAAAATAAACGAATAAAGGTATACTCTTTCTCCTATATTCCCTTTCTTCTTTGTCTTTGTATGAGCCATCTTCATCCACATGCTTACCCAGTCTAGAAACATGGAAGCATATTTAGACTCTATTCTCAAGTCTACCAGCATTTAGTTCTGTGAATTCCATTTCCTAAGTATCCTTCAAGTCTTCCTTTCACCTGCACTCTTAGTATATATCTTCTTATGTATTGTCTACACAATTACAGCAATCTTTTAAATGGTCTCCTTTTCTCCAATGTCAGCCTTCTCAATCTCCCTCTTGCCAGAGGGTACCAAATTATTTTGTTGTTGTTGATACTGGGGGATGAACCCAGGGGCACTTTACCACTGAGTTATATCTCCAGTCCTTTTTGTTTTTTATTTTGAGACATAATCTCACTAAATTCCTGAGAGTCTTGCTAAGGCTGTCCTTGAATTTGCAATCCTCCTGCCTCAGCCTCTAGAGAAGTTGGCCTTGCAGATATGCACCACTGTGCCTAGCTGCCGAAGTGATTTTTATAAAAATGCAATGTTATCATTCCACTTAAAATTCCTTCTTAAAATATTCCATAAGCACTTAAAATAAAGTCAAAACATCTTAGCATGGAATGTTAGGCTTTGAGAAGTCCAAGGGTTTTACATCTCTTCAGCCACTTCTCTGCTTCTGAAATTACTCATTCCTTCTCCTCCCTCCTCTGAACCAACATACACAGACAATAATATCCTTTGATTGATCCTCTAGAAATATCAATTGAAGTTTCATTTACTCTAAGAAGTTTTTCCTAAATAGACTTTTTAAAGTCCCTCCCTTTTGTCACTTCTCTGCCTAAAATATATTTTTGCTTTTGGATGTGTCCTTTTTAGAAATCTACTTATGTGGCCATTGTAATGGCCATAGATTATGACTACAATCTTCTTGACAATAAGGATTATACTTTATTCACCATTATATATGACAAATGTATTACTTAACATCTTGTAGACACATCAAAGATGTTTATGAAACTGAAATAATGAGCCATTTCATCAGATAGCCCAACATCTCTAAAGAGCTTATATTTCAGACAGCTTTCACATCACTATGACAAAAATACCTGACAAGGACAATTTAGAGAAAGAAAGTTTATTTGAGACTCACAGTTTCAGGAATTTCAGTCCATAGATGGCCAACTCCATTGCTCTGGGCTCAAGGAGAAGCAGCATGCCATAGGTGATGGGATGGGGAGGGGGAGAGTGCTGCTCCCCTCTGGGAAGCAAGGAAGGAGAGGGTATGTGTGACAGGGAAGATTCATCCTTCCAAGGCATGCCCCTAGTGACCACCTTCACCAGCCATGCCTCATCTGCCTACATTTACTACCCAGTTAGTCCATTCAAACAAGGATGGACTGAATAGACTGCATCTCTCACCTTCTAATAATATTACTTTTGAATATTACTGCATTAGCAGTAGCTTTGAGATCTACCTCATATCCAAATCATAATAGCTTATAATCTGTTCAGGATTCACTATGCATCAGGCATGCAACTAGCATTCATTAAGCTTTATTTTATTTAGCCTAACAATAATTCTAGGTTATTGAGACATGCACTGGGTATCTCTCCTCATTAATTTCATTATCTGAAGGAAATCATTTCTCATTCTCCTAGCTGGTAGATCATTATAGGCCTTTAGGTGCTAATTAAATAGATTATTTTCTTAAAAAGTAATTGAATGAATAGTGGAGACAACACAGCTTGCATTCAAGGTTTTACCTACAACTTTTTTTTAAAATCAGCTTCATTATTTAAAATATTGTGAAAAAAATTATCACATTTACATATCATTTTCCATTTGAAGAATCGCCAAGTTTAATGTACCTCAATAGATAAGTGAAACAGGGCAGAAAGAACCACTACCTTGTTTCATATGGTAACTTAAGATTTCATTATTATTTCACACATATTCCCACCTTCACAAAAGAATTCTCCAGTTATCAATGAGTGACAACATGCTAAGTAATGATGAAAATGTAGAGATGAACCTCAAGACTAATTGCAAGGGGATATTGACTAGATGTTGGGGGAAAATCACAGGTATGAGAAGATATATGGGCCATTATTTATGCCCAAATCACATGATTCCAGGCTCTGTCCCTCTTGACTGGAACATTCACATCTCTTCTTGATGCCAATGATTTTCTATGATCTCCAAATAATAATAGGTAAATATGTGAACCTAGCTTCTCATTACATTAAAAAATAATAATAAAACCGACATTTCTTTCTTAAGAAGTCCATTCACAACCCCAGCCCCGCCCCCGCTGACCTTTCTTCAATTGTTGCAGAAAGAGGAATTAAAGCCATTCCTTTTCATTTGGGTTCATGTCCAGCCTTCAGAACATGGACCGCAGATCTAGCTGCATTTGCCAAAGGCCCAAAAGCTGAGACTGGTCGATCAATTACCAACCACTTGGCTTTTTTGCAGAAATACACAAAACGTGTAGAATCGCTTAATTTTATCCCCTCCTAACCTCTTCACATGGAAATTGGCTGCTCGGGCGAATGTTGTTTTTCACCGCGGCCATGTGTCCGGGGCGATTAACACTCGCTTGACAAAACCCCTTCTCGGCCATTTGGGAGTTGCACGCGTTCACACCCGGAGTTCAGCCCGATGCGCCTTCACGCGCAGCCTTTTTGTTTATGTGGGGAGAGAGGGGCAGATAGGGTGCGAACTTCTAAATATGCAGCAGGCCGCTAGGGCTATATAAAGCCAGGGGGTTGGACCTGGAGGAAGCTGCCAGGATTGCCCACGAGTCGGCAGCTGCCTTCTCCGGATCCGCGTTGCGCCATGGAAACTGCGGAGAGCGCGGAGAGCGCGGAGAACACAGAGAGCGCAGCCTGCGAGCGCGCGCGCCGCCACCGCCAGCTGCCAGCCGTCCCCGACGTCCGGACGCGACGCGGGGCCGCGGACTCCGGGTATCACTCCCCGGCGCGGCCCTGAACTCTCTTCCTAGTCCCTCCCTCCTCCTCTTCCCAGATCCTACCCTCCGCCCTCGGTCCAGACACCAGGTGCCAGCGGTTGGCTGAGGTGTTTTCTCCCGAAGTGTGGTTCGGTCTCACGTTTCCTTTGCGCTGCTTGTGCTTCCCATTCAGCAGATCCGCAGTCTTTTGGAGACCTTGGGTTAAAGCCAGAGGCGAGAAAGAGGAAGGAACACTGCATTATGCAGCGGAGACGGTGAGTGAACCCTGGGTGGCAGGTTGCCCCTCCTAGGATGCAGAGACGGGGTTGGAGACGTAGGACCTGAAGGACACCTGTCCTCCGTCTGCACCCTCGCTTAAGATTGTGCCTGCCTGTGGCCCAGCCAATGTTGAGGAAGGCGAGTGTATTCTCCAGTGTCGGGCCACAGGGATCCTGCCAGAAGCCTGGCTGCTGAGAAGCTGGGGGTGGGGTGGGGGGGTCACATTTCCTGCGTGCCCATTTCCATTTTTGAGATGGAGGTGGGTGGTAACTGCGAATCATCTCCTTTCGTCCCCAGATACCCAATGGTCCAGGAATGATTCAAGCCTCAGGAAAGCTTTTCCAGTACACACACCCAGTCAGGTAAGTGACAGGCCCTACTGAAGATTTCCTGCTTTTCCATCCCCAAAAAGAGGCTGGAGGCTTCACGCAGCTCCGCTAGGCAGCTGATCCTGTAGTTTTTCTTTCTTGGAAAATCTATCTTTAAGGTTACTCTGTTCATCCCACTCGCAGAGGTGGGTTACTCATCTAACTGAAAAATGTAGGAGTGCTCGCCCCCACCTGAAAGAACAGTTAAATCGGTGCATACTCAGTAAATGCTTAAGGAATATGTTAGAAAAAGACAACATGTATTGTATAGGAAAAGTAGAATGGTGACATCTTGTGCCTAAAAATGGTTTTCGCTTTTGTTTTGTTTGTAATCCCAAAGGGTTGGAGTGAAATTTACTTCATACCAGACAGAAGTGAGTGGTAGGTTATTCTCTTGCAAACCAGAAGCAAGAATGGAGTTAATGATTGCAATTTCACAGAAAATCAAGCTTGACACATGAGAGAAAATGAAAATGTAACAAAAAATCCTAAAGATTACTAAGGGTGACCCTAAAAGAGCTTAAAAGTTATTTAACATAACAAGGAGAAACTATTTACTATTTCTTGCTCCTGGAAGTGGGCCTTTTTGTAAGATTCTTTGTAGCTCTTATTCAGACTAAAGGTTAATAATTATGCCATTTTCCTGTGTCTGAGAGCTGTTAAAAGAAGAGCTGTATGATGTTTGTAAAGGATGTATGTGTTTATAGATAGCACATAATAATTAATACATGCTGATTAATTTTCTACCATGTGCTAGCAGTTGTTGAAGAACATAGGAAAAAATGACAGCACCTTGTAAACGTCCTAATGGAGTTTAGTTTGGTCAGTTTTACAGGTGCGAAGAGGACATGAAGTGCCTAAGTGAGGCTCAGGGAGGTGTGCATCACAGGTTGTGACTGCCTGAAGTCTTGAAGAAGTTAACCAGATGGATGGGGAGGTGGGGGCAGAATGGAATTTGGGTGTGTGAAGCTGTGGTCATTCCAGCAGGGTAGTCAGAGGCCAGAGCTTGTACACCTTGATACAGAGCTTTGTTAAGATCACATAGGTTTACTCTATAGATGAATTTGCTTATTACTCAAGGGATTTAACCATAGAGTGGTGTGGTCAGATTTATGTTTCCAAAAAAAAAATCACTAAGGAAATTATATATAATTTAGAATACCAAAAGTAATTGGAAGCTATTGAAATTGTTCAGGTAAGAAATTATGATAAGCTTTTCTAAGACATTGGAAGTGAGGATGGGTCTGGGTGAATTTGGAAAATACTTAGGTGACAAAGTTTGGCTTTAAGATATATTGGATATGATAGGTGAAGCAGTGGTAAAAAGCCAAAATTCCTCCCAAGTTTTTGATGACAAGGTGAGTCTTGCACTAAGGAAAAAAAAAAAAAAGAAAGAAGAAAGAAATTAGTGCTTAGAACGGATTTGGAGTGCAATGTAATGCATCCAACTTTCCATTTGTCATATTTAAATGCTTATGGGGCAATAAAATAGAGATATCAGGTAGAGAGCTACATATATGTTAAAACCTTAAGTACAAGCTTGGGAGTCTATGGTAAATCGAGGGTTGGGGAACTCATGACAGTGAGTACTCAGCTCATCCCGGGTAATCGAGAGGTAGGAACTGATCATTCTCAACGAAGCTTTGGGGGAAGGCCTGTATCTCACCAGTATAAAGAGAAAGAGAAGTCCACAAAGGAGTCAAAAGAATCAAAAGAGGGAGTAATTCAATAAAATATGGAGTCTCTGGAAGAAAAATAGTCCACAGTGGGATATTCTGGACAGAGTATGATGATAACAACTAACCAGCATTTGTTGGGTTTGGCAAATCCAATTAAATATTAGAAAGTAAACTGTTATCTTCATAAGCAATTACTTTCTTTTCTGAACTACTATTACAATTTAATTGTGCTTCTCTTAAGTTTATTTTATTTTTATTAATTTATATCTTGAGTACTATTTATCTTTTCACTCAATTGCAAATTCCTGAGAGTAGGGGTCATGATTTATTCATCTTTGATATATGAATTATGTTGGCATTTTAAGGAATCGCCCCAATATTTATTGAATGAATAACCCATAGTTACATATTTAAGCATCAAAATTATAAACTTTAAAAATGTTTTGCTAGAAACGGATATAAACATCATTGTCTTTTTCCCACAATTTAAAATTGAGAATACTGAATATAATATAATTCTTTGTTTTTTAGAATCACTCAGTTATACACAGGGCTATTCATTGTAAACTAAAATAACTGTGCTCTAGTCAGTAATTCAGCCTTATCTCTTCTCCTTTTTTGCTTGGACAAAACACAATAGAAAGCCAAGTGGCAATATTAACACTTGCCAGATATTAAAAATTCTGAGATAATCGTGCTTACAGCAAATTATTTGTTTGAAACCTATATAATTTCTCAATATCTCAGTATAGTGTTCCAAATTGATTGGGAAATGAGAAGAGATGGTTTCAAGACTGTGTCAAAGGTAGCCTTTCTATGTCTCAAGTTGTGAATGCATAGGCCAACTTTTAAAAATATTGTTTTTGGTACTTTCTAAATGTATATTGGCTACATCTATTACTAATAGTTAAACCTGTGAGTTTTAAACAATGCAGTAGGTGATGAACACCTTGCTTAGGGTGCATAATATTTGTCATTTTTATAAAGTTGATTATCACTGGAATTGGTATCGTAGTGGTAGAGTTCATTTTTTCCCCTTAAGGAATGTAGAAACTAGAAGTAAGCTAAATATTGATTTTATGCTTATGCAGGGTTTACATAAATTTGTTTGATCTAATTTATAGTTTGGATAGATATTTAAAATAAATAGCCATTAATTATTGGCAAATAGACTCTATGAAAACTGTGATAGTAGCATTTTAAAACTATCTTAAGGCTGTACCTAAATGCATACATCTATTGCAAAGGGTATAGCGCTCTTGAAATCTGGTGTTTTCATAAGTATGAGGATTCTGAATGTGAACAAAATAAAGCATATTATGTTGTCTGCTTCTTTCAGGCTATTTTGGCCAAAATCAAAGTGTTATGATTACTTATATCAAGAAGCAGAAGCTCTTCTGAAAATTTTTCCAATTCAAGCCACAATTTCATTTTATGAAGATTCCGATAGTGAAGATGAAATTGAGCAGCTGACTTGTGAAAATTAATCTAATTAGTTACTTCTGATGATATTCAAAGCTCATGGGCTTTGGTGTATAAATGTATTATAATCTTTTAAACTAATTTATTTGTATATAATTTATTAATAAAAGGAAATATTATATAAATACTATGGTAGTATTGACTTTTTTATCCCTTCATTAGAATTAAATGTTGAAATTTAAAATAAATGCCATTTACAAATGTCTTGATTATATTATAACTATTTGGGGCTTATAGAGGTACTTTTGGTCTTTTCATTAAATTACACATTTACCTGTATATATAATTTTGCAAAGAATGACAATATTTAATCTCTGAATACTAGATGTTGTAACATCTAATATTTTGTACTGACCTCACTGGGATGTTGTAATTACAGATAACATTCTTTTATTAGATAATGAAGAATATAACTTTGTTACCAAGCACACATTTATTATTATGTGTCTGCTAGCAGATAGTGAAAAATACTTTAAAATCATTATTCTATAATTGGAAAGGAAGTCAGTAGTAGGGCCTGAAACTTTTAGGAATTATAAAGAAATAATGATAATAATTCTCGTCTGCTCTTCTTAAATCTAGTAGTAAAATAGTGTGGGGTATCCAATATTTATTGTACTACATTTCATGTAAATCACTCCCATTTAAACATTACTTAATGTTTAAATGGGAGTGATTTGCATGAAACCTAAAAGAGTGGAGACTAAAGAACAGAATGGAAAAATATTGATCCTTTCTTGTCCAAAGGGGAGCTATTTGGTAGAAACATTATTCATATTATCAATTTTCTTAATGAGACAGAAAACAGGAGAAATTTGCCGGATTAAGGTAATATAGTAATCTGTGATCAAGAAGTCCTTTTTAGTTCATACCCAATCTCACAATAAACAATGTAATTACAAGTAAACATATCTCTGTAATATTCCAGGATGATAGCAGGTAAAGGCGAAGATCAGAGGTAGTTGTGAGATTCTCCTTACTGTACAGCCTGGTGTTTCACAGGAGAGAATTTCAAAGAAATCAGAATGCTGTAATAGTGTTATTTTAGTCCATATTTCAGGTAGTACAATCGTACCGCTTATCAACGAACAGACAGTGATATTCTGGGTTAACAAGACTCTACAAGAATATATTCTCGGATTCGATCAGCACCAGGGCTGAGGAACAGCTTCACTCTCTGATCTTTCCGCGAAATAGCTGTCACCTCCATCCAGTGCTGAAGTTTAGTCGGCCGGACCCACTGAGCATGCGTACTTTCCCCCTCTTGCCGCCCCGCCGGCGCTCGCTCCATTGGCTCCGCCCTCCGCTAACGTTCTGCGTCACGACGTGCTTCACCCCTGGAGACCCCGGAAGTGGGTCGGGGGCTCGGCCTCTGCCCGGCCGCAGAGCCGGAGCGGGAGAATCTGGTCTGAGAGGGGTCTGGCCGAATGAGCGACTCCGGGCAGAGCCCGGGCCAGGGATCCAGGATGCTAAACGTCCCTTCTCAGTCTTTCCCGGCCCCCAGCTCTCAGCAGCGCGTCGCCTCAGGGGGGCGTAGCAAGGTAAGCCAGTGACACTTGGTGGCGCCCAGAGCTCGCCTCCCGCCTGCGTTTCGCTCTTCATCTTCAGTACAGTCTGTTTTGCCCTCACCGCCTGTCCGCCTCTGGAGCCTTCGTTCCCTTCAGCCCTTGCTGGTCTTCAGTCCTGGAACTCTCCTTCCCTTCCTCTCACCTGCTAGCCCTTCTTTCCCGCTGTTAGCCCCCTTCCTTTAGGTCCTTTCCCCCCGAATTTCAGATCTCTGGGACAGGACCGCTCACCATGCTTGCCTTATTTTGGGTACTTAATATTGTCTTCCCTCCCTTCAACCTGTCCTCTCTGGTCTCTTCTTCATTGTCCGAAGGAGTTGTGAGTGTTGTGGATTCTCTTGCAGAAGGGAAGGACTAAACAGTGGCGACTAGAGACAGTCTGCAGCGGTGGGGATTTTTGGAGCTAGGGAATATTTGAGAAGCTAAGACAAATGTCCACAAACCTCCATTCAGGTTTATGGACACTTCTCTCCAAATCATATTGCCTTTATCTCAGGTATCTGATTGTTTCAACATGACTTTTGTACTGATATCACTTGCTGACTTCGGAGCTAATGTAACTAATGCTAGAGTATTTGTTAAGCATAGTTACGTTTAGCAACAGGTGGGATGCAAATACATTTTATTTTGCAAAATATAGTAAAAAGTGTGACCCATGTTTACTTAAACCTGAATGCTGCTTGCTTCTCTTATTTGCTAATGCTTTGTTCTGTAGCCACTTCCTCATGTTTTGGTTTTGAGAATTCCAACTATTTAGGCTACTCCTTTTTCTTGTCATTTCTGGACTCTTGGGTCTTAGCATCCTTTAGGACTTTCTCCGACTTTCCTTATTTTTCTCTAGTTAGACCTGAAATTCTGATTTTAGATTAAAACATGGGTTCTGGAATCTGTATTTTTCACGTGCTTCTCAGAGGTCTGTATCCTCAATTATAATATCAATACTGAGATTTATTAAATGCTTCATGGCCATATATGTTTTGAGTGTTTTTCCTGTATTACCTTGTTTAATCTTCATAATGACCCTTGAAATGGAAGCTTTCAGTATTTCCATTTCACAGAAAGGAAACTGGTTAAGAAATGTTGCCTTGGAGCATATAAGTCTTGTGATGTGATTCTGTCTGTGATATTTCATTTATTGCTCTGTACGTCTATTTACAGCCACCCAATCATGTGTTCTTTCCTCCCTTGACTTCTTTCTCTCCTTAAACTAAATACTCACTGGATTATAGTGTAGCCTTTCCAGAATTAGATTATGAGTTGTGGCCCCTCTCCACTAAAATCTCCATCCTTGTTCTCAACATCCATCTAAAGGAAAAGCTTAGAGGCAAAGACAAAAAGTTACACAGATGGTGATGGCAAATGTGAGTCTTTGAATCCATAAAGAAAACAAATAATATTATTGTACAATTAAAAAGAAATTAAGATTCTTTCTTTTCTTTTCTTTTCTCTTTTTCTTTTCTTTTTTTTCTTTTTTGGTGTGTTTGTGAAACAAAACAATCTTGACCATATTGGAAACTGACTTTGGATGAGACAAATACAGATTGAAGAAAATGAAACCTAGTTGGTGACGTTGTATATCATAATTGTTAAAAGCATAGACTTTGAAGTGAGAAAGACACGGATTCTTTTCCCAAATCCATCACTTAAACTCTGAATTTGTTTCCTTGGGTATAACTGAAAATAACCAATTTTATCGGATTATTCATAGGATTAAGTAAGATAATGTTTTTTCTTAGTACAGCTTTGGTAAGCACTCAGTAAAGGATGTTTACCCTAGGGTTTTATTCAAACCTCACAGATTTGAATTTGACGTAGAGAATTCATTCAATATGTGATGGCTATTATTATTTCTACTAATAACTCATAAACCAGTATTTATATACTACTTAGTAGAGATGTGATCTCTAATTTCAAGTAGTCTCATAGGTAGCAAAGATTAATAACAGTCATAAAATACCATAAATACTACAGTAGTGTGTTATGACCAAAAAGTAGTCTGAATCAGAGAAGCCTTCCAGAGGCTTCTGGGGGGTGGGGCAAATCTAGGAAGAAAAAGCAACACTTGAGAGCAAGTACTTGATAGTAATCAAGGAATTAATTCCCATTTGGCTAAAGCATATAATGGAAAGAAATGAAAGTTAAATCATGGATCTTTTGAAATAAATTATGACCATATTATGAAGGATCTGGTAAAGCACTAGGGAATTTGGAGACATTATTATAAGGTAACATGAGGGGCCGCTGAAGGAGGGAGGGTACATAATTTGACTTGCATTTCTAAAAATTAACTACCCTGGGGATTATGGAATGGAGAGAGACCAGTGGTTTTGGTTTGGGATAGGAAAAAATAATTTCAAATGAATAAATTATAAGATTGGGATCAAGAAACCTGGAGAGTTTCACTGATAGTCAGAATGGGACAATATAGATTTAAAATTTAGGGTGAAATGTGAAATTAGAAATGTACCACAGATCTATTAATTTGTTTATTTTGGGGGTAAATTGATACATGAAATAAGTATGATTCAGGAAAGTGAGGTATAAAAACTTGAAGGTGCTTGCTTTTGCGTTAAACATTTTTTTTGGTACTATATTACATACTAAATATAAATAGTAGCCATGTTACAGAAAAATTTTCACTAGGTTGTCTTAACTGATTGAAATATTAATAACACTTCTGTATATTACTCAATACTCAAGCCTGGATAATTGGTAAAGAACAGGGATTGATTTGTTGCAGTTTTGGAGACTGAAAAGTCTAAGGTCAAGGGCCTGCATCTAGAAAGGGCCTTTGGTGGAGCATGGTGGAAATCATAGAGATCAAGAGAGCAGCCTTAAGCCATTCTTTTTTTTTTTTTTGGTAGAGTTTATTTTGACATATTTATACAAACATGGAGTATGTCTTATTCTAGTTAGGATCCCAGTTTTGTGGATGTAATGATGTGGAGATTCACTGTGATATATTCATATATGTACATAGGAAAAACATGTTAGATTCATTCCACTGTCTTTCCTTTCCCCGCTCCCTTCCCTTCAGAGCCCTTTGTCTAATCCCCTGTACTTCTATTCTTTCCCTCCCCTCCTTGTTGTGTATTATCATCCACATATCAGAGAGAACATTCAACCTTTGATTTTTTGGGATTGACTTATTTCATGTAGCCTGATTGTCTCCAGATCTATACATTTACCAGCAAATGTCATAAAGTCATTCTTTTTTTATGGCTGAGTATTATTCCATTGTGTACATATACCACATTTTCTTTATCCATTCATCTGTTGAAGGGCATCTAGTTTGGTTTCAAGTTTAGCTATTGTGAATTGAACTGCTATAAACATTGATGTAACTGTGTCACCATATATTGGTCATTTGTATTTCTTCTGTGAAGTGTCTGTTCAGTTCCTTTTCCCATTTATTGATTGGGTTAATTGTTTTCTTGGTGGTGTTTTTGAGTTCTTTATATATCCTAGAGATTAATGCTCTGAGGTGCAGATGGCAAAGATTTTTCTCCCATTCTGTAGGCTCTCTCTTTATTCTATTGATTGTTTACTGTGAAGAAGGTTTT